GCTCATTCTGTTACTGAGCGTCTCCCTTCAAATGTCCATTTTTTTTCTCCCCTGAAGTCTCAGTTTCAAATCCCTACCTAATATAAAAACCTTACCTTTTGTCTCCTATAGCTACAAAATACTAAGCCTCTTTGTCACCAAGGTTGGCAAATTTCTGTGGGATAACTGTAACTTTTCTGCTCATACAGTCCTAGTTTTCACCTCCCCTTTCATTTTTGGCTGTGAGGATTCCCTTAACATCTTACATGCTCATCTGTGCACTTAAAAATGTGCTTGTGATATTCTGTTTTGCATTCTAGGGGTTTTTGTGGCCAGAGGGTTCTCAGATTATCTAGTTTCCCTGTTTCTGGAATTTAAAAGTCTGACATATAATTCTTTGGTTATTTTATGGCTTCAAGTTACATTGGCTTAATCAAAAGTCCCCTTGTTTAGAGCCAGACAGCTTTGGCTTTGAGTTCCAGCCCTGGTATTTATCCATTATGCAACTCTGAACAAGAGGTAAAATCTTTCAGGGCCTTAATTTATATACAAGTTTTAGAGATTATAATCCTAGGTTTTCAAATTTGCTGTAAAGATTTTCTCTCTTCTTACACTGCACAAAACATTATGACCAATATTGAGCTTTCACTATGTGTGTGGGATTATCTTCTGAGTGCTAGCAATAACATACAATAAGTGTATACACAGATAAATAATTTCAGGAAAGTTTGGTTGTAATAACAAAAAGGGTAATGGGATTGAGAATATCTGTAGAAACACAGTAGGCTTTTCTGATTAGTGATGGGAATTCCTATTTGATGGTGTGATATTCAAGATGAAAATGTTACAAAATTAGATTGTGAGGATGGGTACACAACCCAGTGGATACACTATTCATTCACTTTCAATGGGTGAACTGTGTATATTTGAGTGATATTGTAATGTAGTGTGAATGAAAAGAGAAAGTCAGGTGAAAGTCCCAAGGAAAGAGTATTCTAGTCAAGGGAACAGGAGCTCTGACTGTGAGGTTGGGAATGGTGTTAGCCAGTTTGAGAAAAAGAAAGATTTGGCGTTAGGAGTTGAGCAAGCTGGGGGAATAGGGGGATTGGAGGTAGCTGAGATTTAGTGTGTTGGCAGGAGCCAGACCATGTAGGGCTTTGAACACCATGTAGAATATTTTGAATTTTGTCAAAATTGCAGAACAAAAGATATCTGGTCTATGCTTTGAAATGATCACTGGGCTTTTTGTAAGGCAAGAGAATTAATAGAAGAAAAAGGAAATGTGGTATTTATATACAATGGAGTTTTACTTGGCCACAAAGAAGAATGAAATTTTGTCATTTGCAGGTAAATGGATGGAACTGAAGGACATCATCTTAAGTGAAGTTAGCCAGACTCAGAAAGCCAAAAGCCACATGTTTTCACTCATATGTGGAATACAGACCTAATACAAATACAGCAATATTATGAAAAAATGGTCACTCTAAGGGGAGGTCACATACGAGAGGAGTAGGGTAAGAGAAGGAAACTAAGAAGATGAATATGGTTGATATACTCTCTATACAAGAATGAATACAGAAATTTTAAACTGGATGAAACCACCATAAGAAAGGGACTAAGGTAGAATGAAGAAAAATTAAGGAGATGAACCAATTGGGGTTATAATACATATATACATGGAGATATCACAAGGAAACTCCCTGTGTAGCTTCCTTTACCTCAAACAAGCAAAACGTCATTTTTTTTTCTTTTTTCTTCTACAAAATCAGAGAACAGGAGTGCAGAACAGGTCCTGCCAGTGGGTGGCAGGGGGGTAATTATACCATAGGAGGGGAGAGAAGGTGTGGAAAGGGGGTAGGAGGTTGAATACAGTGTAAAAACATGTATGTAAATGCAAAAATGATACCTGTTGAAATTATTCCACTATTCCAGGAATGGGGCAAGGGGGAATAAAGGAGAGTGGTTGGAGGGGGTGAATTCAAGTGTGATGTATATGATATATTGTAAGAACTTTTGTAAATGCCATAATGTACCCCCACCCAGCACAACAATAAAAAACAAAAAGTACAAGTGGCAAAAGAAGATATTCCACAACAGTTAGAATGAAGACCCTAGGAATTACAATTGGACTTAGTCCTCAGTTCCTGCAAACTCAACTTTATTATAGACTACACACTTTCCTGGGAGCAGATATGTGACTAAAAAACCATCCCATTAGAGGGATGGATAACAAGTAAGAGAATCCATGCTCCGCCACTACATCCAAAGGTAAAAGGCTATTGTAGTGTTCTGAAGTTCACCTCACCCTTGATTATAGTAACCTGGATTATTCATATAGGAGGAAAAGTACTTTCAGCTGAACTCTCCTGGGTCACCAGGGAGGGCAGGGGTATTAGCCTAGCTAGACTGTGTTTCATCAATCTTTTCCCATCTCAATCACTGTACAGAACCATTCTGAACCACCTCTATCTCTTTCTTCCACTTAAGAAACAAGTCAAACTTTGCTATCTAGAATCAACAAGTAGGAAAATATACGGCAGATGGTAATAATCTATAAATTCTATAATCAGGTGGCATGTTGCTTTACATACCTGAATGAAAGTATGACCTTTGGAATTGGCAAAGTGTGGTTTAATTATAAGCTCTGCCATCTATGAATGATTTAGGAATAGTTCTAAATTTTGTTCAATAAAATTAGGGGCAAAAATATCTCTTCTTTCCTGAGTGTTCAAAAGCATTGGTTCCCATAAATCTCTTAGCACTGTGCCTGATACAAATTGGTAGCTATTACTATTACTTATTATAATAACCAGTGCCTGATCCTTTGTAAGGGGAAAAATATTTTTAAAAGATGAAGGCAGGCACAGTGGCTCTAGCTTGTAATGCTAGCTACTTGGGAGGCATAGATTGAGAGGATCATAGTTCAAGATCAGCCCAGGCAAAAAGTTTGCAAGACACATCTCAACCATTGGCTGGGTGTGATGGTGCATGGCTGTCATACCAGCTACATGGGATAGGAGAATAGGAAGATCCCAATCCAGGTCAACCTGAGCATGAAGTGAGAACCTATCTGAAAAGCACCCAAAGCAAAAAGGGCTGGAGGTGTTGTAGAGCACCTACCTAGCATGTGAGAGGCCCTGAGTTCAACTCCCAGTACTGCCCCCATATAAATATATATACATATATATGTATATATACCATGATGAAATCTACTTATCTTCAAAAGACTTGAACTTGTTAACCACAATATGAACTTAAAACTATCACTATCCATATCATGGAACCTAGGATACTATCAGGTGTTTCTGTAATAATATTAGTTTAAAACAAATTTTAACAATTATAAAATCTTCAATGGATTTTTTATTTTAGAATTCAGAAAGTATAAATATATCTCTTAGCAAACTATTCCTAATAATGAACTACTATGGGTTAGAGAGTTGTATGTTTTTAATACTCGTGTTCATATTAAATGGGTTTGTTACACATAGCATATTATAGCCTTCCAAAGGATTAGGTACACTTCTAAAATGTACACTTACTAAGAATTTTACTGGCAATAGAAAGAGTCATGGTGCAAGTGAAAAAGTAGAATATAAAGTGGTATATATGTTGCTATTTTGAAATTGTAAGGATACCTAGACAAAAAGATGACAGAAAATATGTCAAACATTTTAAACAACTGATTTAGGGTGGTGGAAGTAAATTTGAATTTGTTCTGTTTATTCTTTTCTCTTTCCTAACATGCATAGATTCTTTTATAATACTAAGACAGTGATTCGTTAATGTATCACAAAAGTGGCAAACTGGGTAGCAAAATGCAATGGAGATGATTTAATAGACCACACTAATTTTTACACACACTTGAAAAGTGTGTTGGAAAGAATGAGCACCCAGAAACAAGAGTTACAGTACACGGGGCAATAAGGAGCCCAAGTTCTTCAGGCTGTTGCTCTATTTACCAAAGTTTGTGACATGCATATGTATCATATATATATGTGATATGTCCAGAACTTTCTGAGGGCCTTTACCCTTATGAAGTCAAAATGAATCATATATTTAACACCCTGATTGTAATGATTTTTTTAAAATTTTAACATGAGAAAGAAAGAAGAAATAAGGTTGTAAATATGTTTCTTAGAGAATGGTTTCTTACTAGCATGTTTTAGCCTCTTTGGTGATTGCTATGTAACAAATATCCAAAGACTTCTGTAGTAGAGAGGCCATCTGTTCCATATAATCAATGCTCCTCTATGTGAGCACTAGGTAATTGCCTTTGGTTAACTACCTTGCATTTCTAATAGTCTGAAGGGGAGAGCTCCAGAGTCTGGGAATCAGACAGTTTAACCACTGTGCCTCATGCAGAGAGCAGACAGCATGTCTTCTACATGGGAGACAGTTTCCTTAAACTACCCATTAGGGGTACCACCACTGACCATCACACGCAGCCGTCCAAGCTCTCAAAACAGAGGCAGAGGCAGAGTAAACATACACAATGCAAGCACCTTGGTCTCTTAGCACTCAGTATGTCATTAGCCCACCATAGAACTGTTTTGATTGAAAGTTTTATTGGTTTTAGGTTTTAGGATCTAGTATTTCTTATTTCAAACAGTAACTTTCCCCCCAAATTAGTACATAAGACCACAGTGCATTTAACTAATTTTATGAAGCTTAGTTTCTTATGTTAAGTTTTAAGAGGAGAAAAGCCTCTCTGAAACAAATCATTGTTAGGACAGGTAAGTAGAGGCCTGCTGGGCAGCAATGCTGACGAGCAAGGCTGGTGTCATCACACATGCTCCAACTAGTCAAAAACCCAATTCTTTAAGAATAATAACTACTGCTATTTTGGGTAAAATCTGAGTTTTTCATTAGAGTAAAACCAGGCTTGACATTTCATAAAGCTTAAATGCAAATAAAAATGATTAATCATATTCATATATATGCGAATTCATACTCAAACCATAATATTAAAAAGGTGTATTATATTTGAGACAAACCAGAGAGTTTTTTTAATTGCCAGAAATTTCATAGAGTAAATTTGTTTATTCAGTAATGCAATTACAAAATAGGAATATTACATTCATCAGACGTAAGAGCATAAAATATGGTTAAAACAGGGAAACAATGGCATCATTTTTAAGAGCTTCACAGAAATCTTTTAATTTACAGTACTGCTCTTTCAACACTAATAGGATTAATGTGTGGTTTTTCCATGATTAAAAAAAATCACAGTACCTGAGTAGTACATACCTTCAGTGCATATGATAGACATTATTATAAACATTACTTAAGATAATCAGTTACTTAAGCAATTATTTTAGCTCATCTAATACATTTTTCTAAATGCTTTAAGACATAAAAAGCAAATAATTACATATACTTAAGGACAAGATTTTCTGGTATTCAATTATCCAAATACATATTTACCCATTAAATTAGAACTAACTGCTTAATATGTAAAACAAGTTTAAAATCATGGCTCTTGATTAAATACAATCTCCAACCCTCTCATGAGACTTCTAGGTTTCAAAAGTGACTTGAAAAACCTAGCTTGGGGGTGAATCACTAATATACTCTGAAACACAGGACAAAACAAAGAGTTTGCCTCTTTGTTCAAAATTTAAGACATAAATGATATTAACAATATGCATGCATAAGGCCTAATAAAAATGGCATTTCAGGGAAATTATTGCTTAACCTAGAGGGAAAATGTTACTGCTGGATTCCTGCCTGGGGCATAAATCGTGGTCCTGCATTAATAAGTAGGTTTTTGGATTCCCTGGCTTTCAGTGGAATGTCGGAACCTTTTGTGATTCTCACATAGATAATTCAGACAAGCTCTAAAATTTGAGAGGACACTTAACAAAATAAAATTCCCTACTGGATGGTAAATATATTAATTCTACTATCATATAAATAGAACAAATCTGATTTATTTATTGGGCAAGCGCTACCTTTGGACCCATCCAACTTAAATTAAATTCAGCTCTGTGGCAAACAATTCATTTTCTCATTAGGCAATCAATGTTCCCTTCAATAAGGCAATTCCCACTTAGCCTTTGGCCATGGCAGTCATCTTTAACACAAAGTTCCAGCCCTGCCGATCAGGTAGAAGGTATGATTTCCTTAGACAGTGGTTTAAGGAAATCTGCAATACAGATGCATATTAAAGAGAACATAAGTCCTTAAGAAATCTCATGTAATTAATGGAGCCCTCCCCAACAGTGATCCTAGAAACAGACATTTAAATGGAAAAATGAATCTGAGAAGGTATAAAATTCTGCAATGTTTCTCAGATTCTTCATTCTTATTTCCTGAAAGGAAAGGACTCAGAGAAAAAAATAACATTACTGTTTTTTTAAGAAAAGTGGATTGAAAAGTGTTTACATTTTTTAAACTCTTTAAAAAATGTTGATTAATGCTGACCAATAAATAGTAAGACCAATGTATTCTTTTCCTTATGCAAATTAAGAAAGTCAATAAAAGTGCACAGTATATATTATCAGTAAACCAACGAGTGAAGCAGAATATAACACAAAAGAAAAGGACTATTACTTGATCTATGCAGGTTAGTAAAACATTTTTAGTAAGAAAATCTATCATTTTCATTAAAAGTTTTCCATTGTAGACATTCTTATTGAACAAACATATTTAAAATATTATCAGCAATGCCTTCATAATCTCGAGTGCCAGCCACTGCATTTTCTTCACTAGAAATCCTCCTTTCAGTCATCTTTTTTGTCCGAGGGACTCTCTTCATGGTTTTCTGGACTAACTTTATTACTTGCAATAGGAGTTGGCTGGACTTCATCTGGCAATGAAAATACATGGCATGTCTGCAGGTCTAGGTACGTTGTAAATACCTTAGCATATTCTGGATGCTTCAGGGCAAAACTTTTGAATTCCTCTAGGAAAAGAGAAAAATGTTGAGTAAATTGGTATGAATCTTCTTGTTTGCTATGATGCGGATTAACAAATGACCTTAAACATAAAATGACTGCAAAATTCTATTACTCAACTCAAACATTACTGGTGGGAATAGAAATTCTAAGACTTCTTTGGAAGATGGGTTTTCTATTAGCTAGTCAAGTTGAAGATAAGAAGATTCCATGACTGATTAATACTATTCTGAGGTGCACAATTTTGAGAAATTGTGCATATTGTGTTCTGGGAGACATGAATGAGACTGTTCATAGCAACATTATTCATAAAAGGTAAAAAAATGAAAAGAATTCAGATGTTTATCAATGGTAGAGATGGATAGATCAATGACAGCATCTTCATGGAACATAATGCACATTACACAGCAATGACAATCAACAGCCATGTGACAATGATATGCATGAATCTTAAAACCATAACATAGAATGAAAAAAACCCAGATACAAAAGAAAACAGACTCTAAGAGTCTATTTATATAAAGTTCAAAAACTTAGACAAAACTAAAATACAATATTTAAAGATACATAGTTTCGTGGTGAAGTGGTAAGGTAAAAATAAAGCCAAGATTCCTTAAAGAGTGAGGAACGGGCTATGGCTGAGAAGGGTACACAGGGGCTTTGGAGGTTCTAGAAGGGCTCCATTGCTTGGCTTGAATGGTAGCTACACAGGTGTTCACCATATAAAAACTTCAGCATGTCTAGATTTATGTCTTATTCCATTTTCTGTACTTTTGTTAATTTTGGCAATAATTTTTTAAAAATTCTGTTACCCAGGACTGTCTATTGCTGACTTTTAAAATTATTTTAGTCCTTAACTGTGGTAGAGAAAGCTGTAGTCTTAAAATGCTGAGCCCAAGCTTATAATCAATAATGGTTAGGATAGTATATGTAATAGAGGGGTGAACTTCAAAGTACACTGAATTCATCTGTGGCATTATCACAATGAAAATCCCTGTGCTATTAATGTATGCTAACAAACTAATACAAAATAAAGATAATCCATATGACCTCTGAGTAGTGGACTCTTAGATTTAGGATCTGAGACATGTATAGAATGCTTACTAAGTTCACTATCAGAATTTTAATTAATTTATTTTAAGGCACTGGGGTTTGAACTTAGGGCCTACACCTTGAGCCACTTTACCAGCCCTTTTTCTCGAGATACAGTGTCACGAACTATTTGCCTGGGCTGGCTCTGAACCACAATCCTCCTGATAGCTCTCTCCTGAGTAGCTAGGATTTAGAGGCCTGGGCCACAGGCACCCAGAAAACTATCAGAATTTTAGCCTCAAGCCTCCAGTAAGCTGGAGTTTCTAATCTCCAATGCTGCACTCAATTCTGAAACTTCCCTTCTCTCCTGGGTGAGTGTCTTTCCACATGGAGAAGAGGACGCAGTGATTTCTAAAATAAACTAAGCATGCGAGGTCATTTCCTGAGACGAAGAACTTTAATCTCAAGACTTATATTTTGTTCAAAAGATAAAGATCCTCTGTTGTGATGTCAGTTACATTAAAATGAGTAACTCATTTTGAGGAAGGCTGTAAATAGATTTGAGGCATTCATTTGACAAATTGAAAACCAAGAATGAAAACAATTTAAAGAATGACATTCTTGACACACATCAACACCCACTTTTAAAATAAAATTACACTTAAATACTCAAACATTCCTTTAAACATTGAACTTGTGTAATATCAGGGAACAAGAGACACTCTGAGCAAAAGGTTGAATTTAAAAAACAAAAAAGCAAACTCTCCTAAAACTTGATTACATGGACAGGAAAAATTACGGCCACCTTAGTATTATCTTCATTGAAATAGTTACTACAATTAGTTTTTCAAAAACTGATACTTCAGAGTAATAGAGAATATTACTTATAAGAGGAAAATGGTCACAGCAGAATTAGCACACGTGAATTTATAGATTTATATATCAGTACATATACTTCCCTATTCTATCCTTTCTATATTTAATTAATTCAATAGATTAATAGCCCTAGGTACTTAATTACCTAGAAGAGACTATGGGACAGCCAAAATGAAAGTAATTAAAGACAGAGCAGAAGAAGTATGTGATCTGCTTTCCCCATCCCATAAAGTTAACAGGATGAAACTCTTTGAACACCATAAGGGAAAAGTAATTAAGTAATTAAGGAATGTCCCTCCAGCTTGAGGGGAAAGATGGAAGATAAGTCAGCTAGACTTCTGAGACAACATCAAAGCTAAGGCAGGAAGCAATCACCCACTGCAGGTGTTTCTCAGTGGTACACTGTGAAATACAGGGAAACTAATTCACCATCCTTCAGCCACCATCCAGCAGCTTGTCTTTCTGTGGGGACTGAGCCTTCAGGAGAAAGGACAGTAACTAAAGGATGGATCTGTGACTTTCCCACAGAAGGTCTCTCCTTCCCAAGGTTTGCTATTGGGATGGCATGAGACAATGACGGCCTCTTACACAAACTGCTATGGTGAACAGCAACAAATGGTTTAGTTATTCTTGTTGGTCCCTTGTTCCATCTTCTTCTACTGTAGCTACAACTCAGCTTAACTAACTTGCTCTATGTGCCTAGCCACACCGGCAGCAAGTATAGGAGGCACTAAGGTACAGAGTCAACAGTGCTGGCTCTAAGTCAAACTATCTTGGATTTTTTTTTTTTTTTTTTGAGGCAGGGTCTTGCTATGTAGCCCAGGCTGGGATTATAGACATATACCACCAAGCCTAGCGTCTATCTTAGATTTTGAATCCTGGCTTTGACATTCTTTAGCTGGATGATCTTAGGAAAGTTGCTTAAATTCTTTGTATTTAATCCAATAAGAATAATTACAATTATTGCTTTAAAAAAGGAATACAGATTAATAGGCTTGATGTAAAGATTAAATGAGTTTAAGTATGCAAAATATTTAGAAGAGTGCACACCATGTAAGTCCTCAGACTACCGTAACAATAATGCTGTGGACGCCATGACCAGCGTTACTTTTATTCATGTAATTATTTAAGGCAAACACTCCTGTGAGCCTCAGTTCATAGTACAGAGGCTCTCCTTACAAACCAGAAGGCCAAACTGCCCACTCACCATAGGAAATAGATCCCCTTGGGCAATTTCCTTGAAGAGACCAGAAACATCAAGGTCAGGCACTCCAAGAGAAGCCTGGAGAATGGTGGAAAACTCTTCTTCTGTTATGTAGCCATCCTCATCGACATCAAAGAGCTGGAGGAAAAATAATAAAACATAAGCGTTCCCTCAGAGCACCAGTGGAACTGAATCATCTTGGAAAATGAACTCTTTCATCATTCAAACGTTTATTGTGCCAGAGGCTAAGAGAGGTGTGTGTGTGCATGTCTGCGTGAGCGTGCAGAAAGATGGTTTCTGCTACTCTCACAACACTCACAGGCGTAGCAGTAGAGAGAGAATTAAAATAGGGCTACACCAATAGAAGTTCAAAGGAACATGGGAGCCCAGTGTGGAATCCTACACAAAGAAGTGCAAGAAGGATTTTCAGAGGAGTCAATATTCGAATTGGGTCTTGGAACATGAAGAGGTGTTTCCAGAACATATAGGGAGTGGCTTGGGACTCAAGTCATGGTGGATACATAAAACCTCACCTATTCCTGTGAGATGGTGATGGAGGGGACAAGAAATGTGAACTGAAGGAGGTATTTGAAGCAGAGTGTGGAGGACTGTTGGGGGCAGGAGACTGATAAGAAAAACCAATTAAATCTGGGATAGATATGGAGGACAGTTAGGAAGGGACAGAATTTATAAGCAGCAAAGATAGAACTTGCACAAGAGGTTGTAGTGATGGGAAGGAAGGAGCCAAAGATGGCCAGTGATGGTTAGTACATTAACCAAGAGAGGAAAAACAGTCAGAAGAACAAATGTCAAATGAGATCAAGAGTTGGACCTGGATAAGTTAAATTTAAATTAGAGGAGCCAGAAGTAAGCAAGAGATTCAGATATCAGCTTAGGGGACTGATGAGGCTTGAAGTGTGAATTCAGGTAAGGACTGACACCATGGGTGCATCCAAGCTTATCTGTGGAAAATGTCCAAAGAAGGTAAAACCTGAGCAGCCCCAGTTGGGATGAGTGTAGGGAAGAGGAGCTGATGGACAACTTAAGAACCAGTCAGACAGGAGAACAGGAAGAAGATGTGTTGTGGAGGCTAAGGGAGGGTTTTCATGTTTTACTTGAAACAGGGGAAGAGGGAAGGTACAGACATATAATGGAGGAGGTGTTCACAGTATAGTTCATCAAAACAGAGAATTCACAATGAAACACCCTTGTATTACTATTGCATGCTAATTCAAAAATAAAATTTAAAAAGTTGGGGAATACATGTTACAAAAGAAAGAAAAAAAACCTCCTGGTAATGCAAAAAATAAAATGAAATGAAAAACAGAGAAAAACAGGCATTGGGTAGGGTATGCTACTCAAGGAATGAATAATAAGCAACTATTGGATAGTGTTTTAACTGTTCTTGTGAGTGGGAGGGAAAAAACCCTAACTTAAAGTTGGGGTACAATGCCCCAGCTGAGAGCACAGCTTTAGTCTCTATTCCATTACTTAGCTCCAGCTGGGATCAGAGACCGCCAGTGAGAAGCGAGGGAGCATCTGCTTTCACACACCAGGCTTTGTGTATACCTTGGACTTCACAGCAACCGCCAGGAGTCAGCCACACCTCTCTCTTCACAGCTCCAACCTTTCTTCTAAGGCCTTCCACTCTGAAGATTGTAGTCCACAGTCCTGCCTCCTGGGGTTTTGGTGGCTTCACTTCTGCCTAAGTCCCCCCCCCACAGTACTTCCTCTACATATGCCCTTTGCCACAGCCTCCCTAGATCCTCCCTTCGTGAAACTCTTCAATTTCCCACTAACTCATCATTCCCAAGAGTTTCCTGGCTACCCAGTCCCTAGATTTCTGGTAAACCCCATGGTCTGGGCTCTGGTACAAAGCTTGACACCCCAGTTTCCTTTGGGGAAATGGTATCTCCCCACTGTGCAGAATACTGCAGAGTCCTAATAAAAACAGCCCGTCTTTCCCAACAAGTATATGGTCCAAACCAAATGGACCCTCCTGGAATGTGAATTATGAACTGAGTTGGAGTTTGCTCATGTTAGCTATAGAACTCAAGGGCAGGCATAGGGCAGGTCCTGTAGCCAGAACCTCTGGACCCACCTGGTTCTGAGTTCTCTCCTGAGCCCACTCCTTGGCCTTACAACTGATTCCACTTTGGTGGCAGTCTGTCTTTGGCTTGCAACTGAGAAAAGTCTGACTAATATTCTACCTCTAGAGGTCACTGTTAAGGTGAAATAAAAGATGGAAAGTTAACTATACGAAGTGCTATCCAAAGAGAAGGATGTGAAAGATCCTATGTAATATAAGAGGTTACTACTAAATGATACTAAATATATATAAAAATATTTCCAAAGTATAGAACATGCCTGAAAAGGAAGGTTAAAAAATACCAATGCAGGCTCACTGTGGTGGTGCACACCTGTAATCCCAGCACTTAGGAGCCAAAAGGCAGGAGAATTATGAGTTTGAGGACACCCTGAGCTACATAGTGAGACCCTGCCTCAAAAACCAAAATAAATAAACAAAAAATAATGAATGTAAAGCATGACCCTTCTCTTATTGAAGAAAGAGTTAACTACAGTTTAAATTCCTCCTTTCTAGCCCTGTCCCATTCTATCCATCCCCAGACCAAGGTCTAGGCTAGATAAAATTCTCACGACTTCTTTGAAAACGGTAATTACTGTGATTAAGAACCAAATTTTCTACCAAGTCTTTCATTGGTAAACCAAAAGTGACTATTTGCTTGACTAACCTTATAATTACACATACAATCCCAAAACAGAAACACAAATATCTGAACTGGAGGAAGTTAGTTATGTGTGTAATTTTAGGCTTTATGATGAGTAAGTCTGTAAAAGCTCAAGGTTTTAAACTTCTGAAAAATTTCTGGCCTTTGCCTTATGACCATCTGCTAAGCATCAAATACTTAGGTTCTTTATCGGCCTAGTTAGCTCAGTTTAAACCAGTGTGAAATAGAAAGGAAACACAGGGATTCTTATGTCACTGAGAGAAGACATGAAAATTCCTGAGGCCATCTCCGGTGGCCTCTAAGACATGGGAAGAAATCTTGGAGGAAGAGGCTTTATACTAGAGGGAAAGAAAGACTTGGTGAAGTCACAGTGGGATGTTTTCAGAGAAAGTCAGGAAGAGATAACTCCTTCCCTGTTTCCAGGGAAGGAGTTCTCATCTCCAGCTGCATGGAGCAAAGGGACCAGGTGGAGGCATGGGCCTCGCTGTACGCAGCTTGGAAAGAGAAGTAGGAAGGTCCAGATTCTGCTTTACTTAGAGAGATGACCCTCCCCCCGTCAGCTAAGAACTCAAAGGAAACATATTAAAGTAATAGATGTGGCACCTTCATTCCCAGAATTAAGCATGCCTTGGAATGTATTCCCTCTTCTTTTGCACCCGTAGGTAGTCAGTGGAGTCGGGGTCTCCACAATTCAAACTTTTAACAAGCTCTTTTCGGGACAGGGATATGGGTTTTACTCATCTGCTCCCAATTTAGGTCCCCGTATTGCTGCAAAAAATACATGGGATACTATGGAAGATGTGCAGGATAGAAACTTGGGTAAATTATATGTGTTGCCCTGACGCCCCCAAGACAAAATAAATTACATCAGCAAAATGCCACTTAAAATTCCTCTGACATAAGCCAGGTGCAGTATTACTTGTGCCTGTAATCCTAGCTACTCAGCAGGCAGAGATGGGGAGGATCGTTGTTTGAGACCAGACTAGGCAAAAAGTTCCCGAGACCCTCATCTCTATCAATAAAAAGTTGGGCATGGCGTCAAACCCCTGTCATTCCAGTTACACAGGAGGCATAAATAAGAGGATTGCGGTCCAGGCTAGTCCCAGAATGAAAACAAGACCATATTTGGAAAATATCTAAAGCACAAAGGGCTGGAGGTGTGGCTCATGTGGTAGAGCACCTGGCTAGCAAGCCTGAGACCCCAATCCAAGCCCGGTACCACTAAAAAATAATTTTAAAAAATATCTCAGACATACAATGAGAAGATAAAGACAGAACAGACCTTCCCAGATAGTGAGTTAGGCTGACTAGCCCCAAGTGTTTATTTCTAAATCTTACTTCAGGGCTTCAAAACAGGGAGGCTGAGAAGACATAACTTTAAGTGAATTTGTTAAATCACCTGCTCTTCCATCTTGATGCTGTTACCTAGGCTGTTTCCATTTTGGCTTAAATGGATGCTTGTGTTTTCTGTCTCTCAGTGGCAATTGACATAATCAGATTATCCTCCTTACACGTACATCACAGGAGACCTATAAACTCGTGTAACACATCCATTGACTTTTCAAATAATGCACTTACAGTCAACACTTGTTTACAGGGCTGACCAAGATGCTGTCAGATGGGTTGACAGTACCTTAAATGCCACCTGGATGATGTCCTCTGTGTTGGCAGGGTTGCACAGGACTGCCAGGCCAATCACATACTCCCGGAAGTCGATGCTGCCATCATGGTTCTGTGGAAGGACAGGAGAAATCAATTAGGAAGTCAATAGTTGGATTATGGCTAATCACACCTCAAGGTGGAATGCAGGCATCCACACTGCTCAGCAGCACGGTCACTGAGCCACCTGCAGAAAAGTTCTAACTGGCCTGAAGCAAGCAGGCAAGGGGCCCACTCAGCCCCAGTTCAAAAGGAAGAAAAGTCTCTTCTGTTTAGAAACAATGATAAACATGTTATCACCGAGGCCACTTATATAGCAGGTACTCCTCCAGCCCCTTTTTCTTTTAGGTTATTTTTAAAAATAGGGTCTTGTGTTTTTGCCCAGAGTCTGGGACCATAGAGAGTTGCTACCATGCCTGGCATATTCCTTGAGGTGGGGTTTCACTAACTTTTGCTGGGATAGCCTCAAACTGTGATCCTCTCACCTCTGAGATTACAGGTGTGAGCCACCATGCCTAAAATCCTCCACTTCTAAGCCAACAAAAATGAAACATGGTAAGAGTATACATGATAGGAGGTACTTCAAGATGGAGATAAAGGAAAGAATTGGTGTTCTAATCCAGACTGACTGAACATAGTTTCCCTACACATTCACTACTCACCTAAACAGGAATCCAGACAGGAGGAAGATGAAGAGGATGAGAGAGCTTGAGACAGTAGAGAAGACAGAAAGTGAGCGAGAAGTGAAGGAAGAGACAACTGAAAAGAGGGAGAGGAGAGAAAAGGAAAATTGAGATACAGAATCAGAGGGAAGAAAGGTGGAGAGAGGGAGGAAGAGGAGGAGAGGGAGACAGAAGGGCAACTGTAAAACAAGCCCTGTGATTAGACTCCAGGTTTTAAAGCAAATCTTCAAGTGATGAATTCCCAGATAAAGTATGAGCTAGTGACAACAAAGCTATTGCAACACAGCCTGACAGACGGACACATAATACTTGGCACCATCAAGAGTGTGGTCTTAAGATTAACTCAAAATGGATCAAGGATCTTGATATCAGACCCCAAACTCTTAAGTTGATACAAGAAAGAGTAGGAAATACTCTGGAGTTAGTAGGTATAGGTAAGAACTTTCTCAGTGGAACCCCAGCAGCACAGCAACTAAGAGATAGCATAGATAAATGGGACCTCATAAAACTAAAAAGCTTCTGTTCATCAAGAGAAATGGTCTCTAAACTGAAGAGAACACCCACAGAGTGGGAGAAAATATTTGCCAACTATACATCAGACAAAGGACTGATAACCAGAATATACAGGGAACTTAAAAAACTAAATTCTCCCAAAACTAATGAACCAATAAAGAAATGGGCACATGAACTAAACAGAAATTTTTCAAAAGAAGAAATTCAAATGGCCAGAAAACACATGAAAAAATGCTCACCATCTCTAGCAATAAAGGAAATGCAAATTAAAACCACGCTAAGATTCCACCTCACCCCTGTTAGAATAGCCATCATCAGCAACACCACCAACAACAGGTGTTGGCGAGGATGCGGGGAAAAAGGAACCCTCTTACACTGTTGGTGGGAATGTAGACTAGTACAACCACTCTGGAAAAAAATTTGGAGCCTACTTAAAAAGCTGGACATCGATCTACTATTTGATCCAGCAATACCACTCTTGGGGATATACCCAAAAGACTGTTACTCCAGAGGCACCTGCACATCCATGTTTATTGCGGCACTATTCACAATAGCCAAGTTATGGAAACAGCCAAGATGCCCCAGCACTGACGAATGGATTAAGAAAATGTGGTATCTATACACAATGGAATTTTATGCAGCCATGAAGAGAACGAAATGTTATCATTCGCTGGTAAATGGATGGAATTGGAGAACATCATTCTGAGTGAGGTTAGCCTGGCTCAAAAACCAAAAATGTATGTTCTCCCTCATATGTGGACATTAGATCAAGGGCAAACACAACAAGGGGATTGGACTATGAGCACATGATAAAAGCGAGAGCACACAAGGGAGGGGTGAGGATAGGTAAGACACTAAAAAACTAGCTAGCATTTGTTGCCCTTAACGCAGAGAAACTAAAGCAGATACCTTAAAGCAACTGAGGCCAATAGGAAAGGGACCAGGAACTAGAGAAAAGGTGAGATCAAAAAGAATTAACCTAGAAGGTAACACCCACGCACAGGAAATCAATGTGAGTCAATGCCCTGTATAGCTATCCTTATCTCAACCAGCAAAAACCCTTGTTCCTTCCTATTATTGCTTATACTCTCTCTACAACAAAATTAGAAATAAGGGCAAAATAGTTTCTGCTGGTATTGAGGGGGGAGAGGGAGGGGGCGGAGTGGGTGGTAAGGGAGGGGGTGGGGGCAGGGGGGAGAAATGAACCAAGCCTTGTATGCACATATGAATAATAAAAGAAAAATGAAAAAAAAAAAAGAGTGTGGTCTTCAACTGTGAACAAGGGGCTCCACTTCAGTCACCAAGGTTCCTTAGAGGTAAGGATTGTTTTCTTTGCATTGCAGTGTGTAACCTAGTTGCCTAGCACCTAGATGACTGCTAAAGTACATACTGCCCTTTTCTCATCTGCCCTTACTCACCTGTCTGGGCTCTTAGAAAAATACTTTAAACTTCACTTTAAAACACTATAACAAGGCTGGGCATGGTGGCTCATGTCTATAATCCTAGGTACAGAAGCAGAGATAGAGAATATTGTGGTTTGAGGCCTGCTTGGTCAAAAAATTAGTGAGATTTCATCTCAACCAACAAGCTGGGAGTAGTGTACAAACCTGTTATCCCAGCAATGTTGAGGCATAGTTAGGAGGATCACAGTCTGAGGCCAGCTTTGGCAAACACATGAGACCCTATCTGAAAAATAACTAAGGGAAAAAAGGACTAGGGGCATGGATCAAGAGGTGGAGCACCTGCCCAGCAAGTCTTGAGTTCAAACTCCAGTACTGTGCTCCGGTATTGTGCTCTACCTCTTGAGTCACTCCGTCAGCCCCGTGTGTACATTTTTAAGGGAAAAGCTTTCATCAGCTTCTCAAATAACCAAGACTCAAAAAAAATTGAGAATCACTTTCACCATATTACTTTATCTTCCTGCAGGGAGGAAACGGAGAGGAATAATAATTTAATTTCCTTTTCCCACCAAGAAGGTAGAAACAGAGGTTTTAAGATTTCCCTAAAGTAACAGGGTTTATTCTCAAGACAAAAACTCAGGTCATCTGATTCCGTATCTGTCTGGAAACCAGCCTGTAAGAGGGCATTTTTCTCTCCATCACTCACTTTACTGTGGTATCATTGACATTCAACAGGATGCATGCATGCCATGTGTGTCTGACTGACAAATGGACACACCAAAGGAGCCCACGATCAGTAGCTACCTTTCGTCTCTCCAGAAGTTTCAGAGAAGACAGGCCACCACACTTAATCATTATTTACTATAGACAACCTTACAGGTTGAGGATTTATTGAATCATAGCTGTATTGTTCAACACAATATAAATTTCTTCTGCAGTTGACTTGTTTTTTTTTTTTGGCAGTACCAGGGTTTGAATTCAGGGCCTTGTGCTTGCGGGGCAGGTAGCTCTTACAACTTGAATTGTGCCCCCAGTCCTTATTGTTTTAGTCAGTTTTCAGGTAGACTGTACCTTTCTGCATGATCTGCAGTCTTCTCACCTACAACTCCCATATAGCTAGGATTACAGGTGTGAACAACTACACCCAACTTGTTTCGAGATAGGATCTTGCTAACATTTTTGCCCAGGCTGGCCTCAAACCAATGATCTTCCTAGTTCTGCTTTCCAAGTAGCTGGGATTTGGAGGCATGAGCTACCATTTGGTTTTTTCCACTAAGCAGTTTTGCATTTGGCTTTTTCCACTAAGCAGTTCAGAAGTTTTGAGTAGAAGTTCTGAAAAAGTGGATCTAAAATTATGCATGAGCACTAAAGTTACAATCATAGATTGTCTGTATGATTGGAAACATTCCTTTGAATTTATGTTGTATCTTCCTTGTGAGACATGCAATTTTTACCTATACCACCAACCCTATGTGTAACAGGTCAAGCATCATAACTCAATTTGCAGGTGCAGAAATGGAGAATGGATCCTTATACTATCACCACTAGTCACAGACTAAGGTAACATTCTAGAGCCCTAATTTTCATGAAATATCAGTGGTTTGACTGACATAATTATGGTAAAGCAGACCCTTGATTCAATCACACAAGAATCTGTATTAAGTTTCATTCCAGTAAAGTAAAGGGGAAGACATAGCACAAAGTTATTCTGAGAGATTATCTCATTGGATTAATAAAGTAATACACTGCTAAACTTCCAAATTCAGAATAATCAAAGTTAGAAGGAATCTCAGAAACCATCAGTGTGATTCCTTTGTTTTCTCTGATGAAAAACTAAGATCTACGTTTCATTTCAGGTTCATCAAATTCACTGCTGCCATAACTGCAAATTTAGGTAGTCTGACTGCCAATCACTCAAATCAAAACAAAAAGCTTGATAAAGTCTACTCAAAAACAGATAAAAAATTGTATAGCAGCATATACTCCTTTAGTTTTTATATTTTGAATCATTTTCATGATAAAAACTTATCCTACAAATCTGTGGCTCTTCCCTTTGAGAAACGACTGACTTCCCAGGAAGAATTATGAATTTAATAAAAAACATCTGGACTTGAAATATTTCAGGGCCACATTTCAAAGGAAAGAGACAAGGTGTTTGAAGGACGTCCCTATCCCACTGTTAGCTGTCCCAACCTGGAACTTGGGAACAACCAAGAGCTAGAACCATGGAGTGTCGCTGAGTCACTGCCAAGAGAAAAGGGCCATGTCCCATTCCTGGGGGTCAGAAAGATCACAGAAGAATGGATGTATGGGTCACGGTGAGCCCTCAAACACCACCACACTGGCTTCCAGGGCCAGTGGCAAATTCCAGGCCATTTGTTCATATGCTGTCCACTTAAAATTTCAGGAGGTTTTTCTCAGGCATCAGTTCTCCAAGGATATCTTGAATACATTTTGCAATGTTAACCTCCCAAGAAAAGGGAATATATATATGTATTTTTTTTTTCCTTTTTCTTGTTTGGTGGCACTCAAGGTCTCAATGCTTGCTAGGCAGGCATTCTTACTGCTAAGCCACTCTGCCAGCCCTTTTTTGTGTTGGTTTTTTTTCAAGATAGGGTTTTTGGAACTATTTGCCTGGGCTGGCTTTGAACTATGATCCTCCTGATCTTTGCCTCCTGAGTAGCTAGGATTACAGGCATGGGCCACCGGCACCCATTGGGACTAAATTCTTTTATTAAAATTGATATATATCATCTCTATAAATAAGAGATAACAAATAATTTTTAAACTGTTTACATACAACAGAATTTACTTGTCAGCAACCAACCACAAAATCCTCTTCATCTCTGAAGACACTCTATAAATCCAAAGGAATGTTATTACTAAAATATAGTAAATTCTCCATTATCCAAAAGAGCCAGGGAAGAGGTGGTTTGTTTACTTGGGCATTCTGATTAAGAGTATATTTCTACACACATAAATAAGAATAGTAGCAATTTTCTTGGTATTAAATTGTTCTTAAAATACTTGGTATCAAGTAAGCTTAGTTATTTACTTATTGGCGCTGCTGGGGCTTGAACTCAGGGCCTTGCACTTGCTAGGCAAGCACTCTACCATTTGACTCAGACCCTCCCAGCAAGTAAACACTAGAAAAGGAGTTTTGAAAGTTCTTCAAGATCAACAGACATCAATTCTCAGTACCCTGCATGTGCCTCTACAAGTATTTTTAAGTATCCCAATTTGGAAAGTTATGTAATATTACTGATAAGGTTTTGTAATGTGGCTGCTATGTAAGCCAACTTTTAAAAACACATTTGCTGCTACTCAGAAATCTTTTAAAAGTGATCTTTAAGGTGGCATACAAATTTTGAATATTTTTGGAAGTTTGCTGCTCTTAGAAACAAAGGATACATTTTATTTTCCTGCTTTTACATGTTATAGAATTTAGTGGATTAGGTCAAGATAAAGTTATTTGTAAAAATCATATAGTTTGAAATATAAAAATGTGGATGGTATAGTTTCTCATAGTTTTCCCTTTAATTTACTGCATTGATTATATTATTTAGTGTTAGAAATTGAACAATAATGGGGTGAACGAATCAAAGAACTTCATCCAAAGCTATAGATTTTTACATAGAATTGGATAAATTTTTAAAGTTGTAAATTCATATTTCCACTAGCATTGAAAATGTGCTTTTAAAACATCAAAACTGATGATATTTTAAAACTAAGAAATTGAATCATGTGGTTAGGCTATAGCTTCTACATAAAGCCACAGATTTGTTTTCTTGGAGAAATCTAGAGTGTGGACTGAATTTCCTAGTCTCCATGGGTGACCAAGGTTATTTATACAAACTCAAAAGAGGACAGAGGAGAAACTTGGGTCACTGCAGTATGCTTTTTCATGTGTGTGCTGGAAGAGTCATAAAAGCAGGTCTTCCCTCACCTTGAGGACCAAGGGAAATACTACCTGTCACTCCTAGAGTGACAGGATTATCGTTAACTATTACAAAATACTTACAATGAAGTGTGGAAGCAAATGCAGCCACACACCATCTTTTCCACAACCATAATGTGGAAAGTTACATCACAAAGCTAACATTCTGAATCTTGAAAAGATATCCTGGCAGCTTTCTTGCTGTCCTGGCTGTTCTCCTACACACACCCAATGCCTGACTTATTCTGGGCTTATTCTAAAATATGGAGACTGATATTAATGTGTGTTTGCTGGCTGCAGCTGGTGCTTATGTAACCACACCTGGTCTAAGCAGCTTACCAGAGCAAGTTAAAATATAAGACTCTTGAGAAAAGTGGATGTGATCCTTGTGCGTGGCTCAGGTGAGAATTATATGTGTGTGGTGTTTCAGAAATGTTATAGGATGGTGCTGATGGGGAACAGAGGTCAAATGCCAACCTCCCCCAGTTTCACTAGGGATTTTTAATAGGCATTCGGGGGCTCATAACAGGCCAGTTCTATAGTTACAACTTTCTCCTAAATCAGTCAAAAGAGGAAAGAAGAATTAATCTTTGAACTCAGAAGGACCCTTCAAAATAGCCTGAGAAAGAGTCAGCAGAAGGGAGGGAGCCAGTTAAACAGGCATCAGGTGAACTGAGCACTTGTCAATGCGGCCTCTCTTAATGAGCCTCCTCACACAAGGACCCTGGGTTCTGCCTGCTCAGCCACCCCGACCAAGGGCTATACACAAGAAGGCATGACTACCCCATCATGGGTGGCAGACTCAGGACTCCTCTCCTCTGGCCTCAGTTCTGGCTGAGACTGAGTTTTGTGGAGAAGGCCACAATGAAAAGCAGTGAGGCTGTCACTTTGGCTGCTCCTTAGAATGACCCAGGCAACTTTAGGAATATTCCTCTCTGGGTCCCCCATTTCTAAAGAGGCTTATCCAACTCATTTGGAGTGGGACTAGGGTGCTAGCTGTCCTAAGGGATCCTCCCTGTGATGTTAAATTGCAGTCAGGGCTGAGAGCCACAGCAAGAAGAATCAGCAATATTTGTCACCTTATATTTCACTTAGCTGATTGCTATTCAAGTGCTTTTTAAAAATCTGTTTGCTTTTCCCTGGCCTGCAGTGTCCAAAGATAAGCCAAAGAATTTTCCTTGCTGTAAGCAAGGGCAAGACACAACACGAGCTGGCTAACGTCAGCTGGCACACCTGTGTGGTATGAAGTAAAGGTAGGAGTGACTGTTTTGATTCACCAAGAAGGTCAGAGAGCTTTCTGGACTATGGGTACACCTTTTAGTCCTCCATGCCTGTTGCCTCTTTATAAGCACACCAAAACAAAACAGAACCACTCTAGAACTAAACAGAAACAGAACTAAAGGATTCTAGAATTTTAGACGGTTGCTCTATTATTTAGAAAGAATGCTACCCTCACTTAAAATTGCTTAATTTTACATTTCTGAACCTGTTTCTATATAGTAAATAAGGCTTTCTAGAAAGCACTTTTCTTGTTTTTATGTAAAGACCAGATGTGAAATTATGGGAAAAACAGATTTTGAACTTCCTTCTCACCTTTGCAAAGGAAACAAAAATCTCCTGAGTGCTTTCTTGATTTATCCCAGGATTTAAAAAAATTGATTATTAACAACAGACAACAATAATAAACTTCCACCTCCTTGGAATTCATTCACCAAGAAATACCAACCTTGTGAAGCTGGCTCCATTTGAACCTCCCACATAGAAGTCTACGTAGATCTGGGGTTTCAAAACACTGACATACAAACCACGCAGAACAGTTTTTACAAAAGCTTTGTTTTAATTAAGCAGTGAAGCCTAGCACACAATCAGAAATACACAGGGCCATGGAATTGCTTCTGTGGGGTGGGGCAGGAGCTCCTGTGGCCATCAGGGCAGGGCACTCGGGAGGCTGACCTCCAGGGATGGTCTTGGTCTCCCAGTGCCACTTCAGGAATACATGGTCAGCTGCAGCCATTCTCGGATAGACACTTGAATCAGGCCATCTGCATCTCTATCCAGAGCCTTGAAGGCACGGAACATGGCATCCAGGCGGACCAGGCAGCTGATGAAGTTGTTGAAATCCACACTTCTGTCCTCGTCAGCATACCGGCGGATGATCATTTGGTAAAGTTGTTCATTTAGCTGGAAGCCTGCTGCCTGCAGAGCATCCCGCAGCTGGGAACTTCCCAGGGAGCCAGAATGGTCCCTGTTGTACTGCTTATAAATGCACTGCCACTTCTTGATGTTGTTCCACAGATACTTGAATTCTTCAAAGCCCAGTTTCCCGGTCGTGTCACTGTCCATGACAGATACGATGCTCCGGCAGGTGTCAAGACTGAAGCCATCTGTCTTCAGGTCTTTGTGCTTAGAGAGAACTTTGTTGAGAATATTCATCAGGTCAGTGGCACCCACCTCCATGTCTGGTCCAGCCAGCTGTGCAAATTGTTGTCTAAATCGCCTAACCTCCTCACTTTCTGAGGCCTCCACATTGGTGAAATGCTGGGGAGTGGGAGGTGGTTCTGGGGTGTACTGAGCTGCGGCAGCCTCGCTGATAAGATTAACAAGTCCTCCTACTATCCCTCCAATATTTCCTCCTGCTCTTCCTCCTCTTCTTTGACCTCCTCCTCCAAGAAGGCCTCCGAGGGCTTCTCCAAGGCCTCGATCTGCCCCTTCCAAGATAGCCTTGGCAAGGAACATGCTTTCACTTCTACAGGCAAGGGTGAAAGCTGCCGAAATCTTGCAGATGGTCTGAAGATTGCTGAGATGGAGTCCCAGTAACTCACGTGTGTGGAAGAACTGGCTTTGCTGAACCTGCTCCCACGGCACCACACCCACTGCGTGATGTTTCATCTCCAAGTGAATTTGTCTGAATTCCACTAGGTCCTAGCACCTGTCATCTTTGAGGGCCTCCATGAAACTAGTTTCCACTCCTCTAGACAAATACTCATAAAATATAATATTAGGACACATTAGAATAATATCTCAAATAGAAAATACGGAACTACACATTTCTATGTGTCATTTCTTTCTTAGCACCTGAAAGACAGTGTGCTTTTTCTGAATGAAAGGAAAGTGACTCAAAGAAATCACGTTTCTTTTCTTTCTTTTTTTTTTAATTTTGGTGATACTTGGGTTTAAACTCAGTATCTTGAGTCACTCCATCATCCTTGTTTCTTTCTGATGGTTTTTTTTGAGATAGGTTCTCTTAAACTATTTGTCCAGGTTGGCTTCCATTTGAGATCCTCCTGATCTCTGCCTCCTGAGTAGCTAAGATTACAGGCGTGAGCCACAGGTGCCGGGCATGTTTCTTTTCTAAAGAATATTTATTGTTGAGGGTAGAACCGAAGAAGTCTTGGGCATTGAAGGATAGTCCCCTGCCTTTAGCAAAGATACTCAAAACCTGATGCTCCCCCCAAAAAAAACTCGGAAGGGGGATTTTTAAGACGTAAGGTCCCCAGACCTCTCCCTTACATGGTCTGATTCTAGAGATCAGCTGTGTGGTCAGTGATCAACATTTTTTTAATTTTTGGTAGTGAAACAAAAAATATACAAATTGATAATGCATAGCTCAAAGAATTTCATAAATAGTACAAGAAACAAGAAACTTCACTAGTACCCAGAAGTTTCTCTTCAGCTACTCCCTTCTCCTGAGGGCAACTGATGTAATGCCACACATTCATACAGGACGTACTTTTTTTTTTTTACTTAAAAATTTAAAAAAGCATTTAAAACTTGTGATAAAATATATATGTAACACATTTTACTATCTTAATCATTTAAAGACTACAGTTCTGTAACATTAAATATACTTACGTTGCTGGGCAGCCATTACCACCATCCCTCTTCAGAACTTTTTTTTCATTTCCTCAAATTGAAATTGTGCCATTAAGCTATAACTCCCATTCTCTCCTCCTGAATTAGACTATTTTATGTACCTTATATAAGTGGAGTCACATGGTATTTGTCCTTTTGTGCCTGGTTAGTTCACTTAATACAATGTCTTCCATGTTTAGCCATGTTGCAGCACGTCTCATAACTTCTCTCCTTTCTAAGGGTGAGTAATATTCCAATCGTATTATTAGGCCATGTTCTGTTTTTCCTTTCATCCATCAGCGGACACTTGTGTTGTTTCCCCTTTTGGCTATGGTAGACAACGCTGCTGCAAACATGGACAGACGTTTGTTTAAATCCTTGATTTCAATTCTTTTGGAGTGTACATAGAGGTTGAATTGCTGGATCATATCATAATTCTATCTTACAACTGAGAGAAACTGCTGTACTGTTTTCCACACTGACTGCACCACTTTACATTCCCACAAGGCTCTTGATTATTCCACATCCTCACCAATGCCTGTTATTTTTCTCACAGATACAATGCTCTGGCAGGTTTTTGTGTTTGTTGTTTAATAGCCATCCTAATGGGTGTAAGTGGTATTTCAATGTGGTTTTGGCTTATATTTTTCCAACAGTTGGTAAGATGGAACATCTTTCATGTGCTTACTGGCCACTGGTAGATCTGCTTAGGAAAAATGTTTATTCAAATTCCTTGATCATTTTTTTAACAATTTTAAAAATCAGGCCGGGCACTGATGGTTCACACCTATTATCTTAGGAGCATCGTGGTTCAAAGCCAGCCCCCAGGCAAATGGTTCATGAGACCCTAACACGAAAAAACTTATGACTAAAAAAGGGCTGGCGAAGTGGTTCAAGTGTTAAGAGCACCTGCCAGACAAGTGAGAGGTTGAATTCAACCCCAGTGCTGCTTTCTTCTTTTGGCTGTTGAATTGTAGACATTCCTTGAATATTCTAATCCTTTATCATATACATGATTTCTCCCATAATATGGATTACATTTCCACTTTGTTGTTAGTGTCCTTTAATGCACAAAAGTTTTAAATTTTGATGTAGTCTGATTTATCTTATTTCTCTTTTGTTGCCTGTGCCTTTGGTATTGTATCTAAAAAAACTTGTTAAGAAATCCAGTATGATTCACAATAGTCAAGCTCTGGAATGCCCCACAACTGATGAATGGATCATGAAATTATGGTATACATATACAATGGAGTATTACTCAGCCACAAGGAACAATGACATGGGATCTGAAGGTAACTGGATGTAATTGGAAGACATAATATTAAGTTTAGTTAGCCAGGATCAGAAACACAAAAGATGCATGTTTTCTTTCATATGTAGACGATAGATCCAAAGATAGACATATACACAAAAACAAGCATGATCACATACAAACTCAGTGTACTTTATGGAACTCAGGGAAAGAAAGAAAGGGAAAAAGAATGACAGGGCATCAGTAATATTACATAACATAAGATGTGAAGGTAGAGGATATAAGGATGAATATTGAAAACTTTTGAAAAATGGAGAGTGGTAGGTAAAGGGGTAAGGGAGAATAATGGAAGTGGTTGAACTGACAAAGTAAAGCACATCCACAGTGGTTGTACATTGAGACACCCCTTTGAACATCAACTTAAATATTAATCGTGAAAACCAGGAGAGGAAAACAGGCACAGTGTGTGTGTGTTGAGGGGGGGCACTAGTGTAAGAGGAAGGATGAAGGAAGGAGATTAAGTGACAGTATATGGTTGATGGACTTCATAAACCTATATGAAACAGAACTAAAAAAAACTCTTGCAATTACTTTAAGTGGGGTAGGAAGGGGGCTGAGGGGGAGAGATGATAGGGGAAATGTAAATAATATTCAAGTCTAATTGGAATTGTCACTACAAATCCCCCATATAATGAATATATCCTAACAAAAATTATAATTAAAAAAAAGAAATCCAGTAGCATTTCTCATATGCGTTCATCTAACGGATTGTTAGTGTCCGCACAATGCTTAGTTAGGTCTGTGATCCAGTCTGAGTTAATGAGTTTGGAGTAAGGTAAGGACCCGGCTTCCTTCTTTTGCAGATGAATGTAATTTCCCAGTACCACGTTTTGCAGAGACTGTCCTTTCCTCACTGATTAGTTTTTGCATCCTTGTTTAAAAGCACATGACTATACATAGAAGCGTTTATTTCTGGGCTCTCTATTCCATTCCATTGGTTTATATATCTGTCCTTATGCCAGTACCACATTATTTTGGTTATCATAGATTTTTAATCAGTTTTGAAATAAGGAAATGTGAGACCTCCAACTTTGTTCTTTTCAAGATTGTCTGGCTTATTCAGGGTTTCTTAAGATTGATTTTTCTATTTCTGTAAAAAATACTGTTGGGATCTTGATAAGGACTGCATTGAATTTGTAGAACATTTTTGGTAGTATGTACATCTTAGTAATATTGTCTGCTAATCTTCTAATTCATATGCATATTTATTTTTATTGCCTAACTGTTCTGGCTAGGACTTCCAATACTCTGTTGAACCAAAATGGGGAACGCACACGTTAATCCTGTTCTTTATCTTAGAGGAAAGGCTTTCAGTCTCCTATCATCAACTATGATGTTAGCTGAGGGCTCTTCATATATGCTTATTATGTTGAGGCACATGCTTTTATTGAAATGATATTGAATTTTGTCAAATGATTTTTCTGCATCGTTTGAGATGATAGTATATTTTCCCTTCCTCTTGGTAATAGCACATTGATTTTCATATATCAAACTATCCTTGTACTCCAAGAATAAATCTTATTTTGATCATGGTGAATAATCTTTTTGATGTGTGCTATTGACTTCTGTTTGCCAGTATTTTGTTGAGGGCTTTTATATCAATATTCATATGGCATAATGGTCTGTAGATTTCTTTTCTTGTAGTATCTTTATCTGACTATAGTATTAGTATAGTATTAGTATAGTATTAGGGTAAAGTTGGCCACATAGAATGAGTTAGGAAGTGTTCCGTATTTTGAAGGAATTTGAGAAGGATTGGTGTTAAGTGTTTGAATGTTTGATAGAATTCACAAGTAAAGCCATCTGGTCCTGGGCTTGTCTTTGCTGCAAAGTTTTTGACTACAGATTCAATCTGTTTTGTAGAGATGATCTTTTCAAATTTTCTATTTCTTCAAGATTGAGTTGTGGCAGCTTTGTGTTTCTAGGAGTTTGTCCATTTCAACTAGGCTATCCAATTTGATAGCATAAAGTTGTTCATAGTACTCACTTATAATTCTGTTTCTAAAGTTGGTCATTATGCCTCCTCTTCCATTTCTGAATTTTTTGTCTGGCTTCTATGTCTGGCTTTTTGCCTCAACATTACATTTGTGAGATTTGATTTTATACTTTAAATAAGCATCTTCAGAAGTTGGTCAAAGGCAGTCACCAACAGCACATGACAAATCATACCTTCGATACTAGGTAGAGTTAGAGTTCAAGTCCTCCAGGGGGGTCTTTGGAAGTTCTGTTAGTGAGCTCAGGGAAAGGTGGACAGGACTTCATGACTTAGTTATTATGTCACTTAGTGTTTGTGGGAGTCCCAATTTCAAATCTAAAAAATGCTGATATAGTATCTCTCCTGACTTCTTCAAAATGTTGCAATGTGATTTATTATGTATCAGGATGGACTTAGCTCTGAGCTGAAAATATAAAGGTAAATAGAATAGGATTGCTGTGTACAAGGATAAAGTATATACACAGTAAAATATCAGTAATTATAAGCTGATGTCTGTGTTCACACTTCTACTACTCACTTGTATATAATATGCTTTGGTATCTAGGTTTTATAAAACTCTCTGAAAGACACAAAAGTATTCCAGATAAGAAACAACAAGTTAAGTTACTTATTTAAGATCATGCAGTTAATACATTGTATTGTATTATAAAACTAGTATGGCTGCCAAAATGGGAGCAATGCATTCTGCTGAAGCAAAGGAAAGGAGAACATTTACCTGCATAAGAGAGAATGTATAGGCCTTACTACAGGCTGAGTCAGACTGAGAGCTAAAGGAAATTAGATATTCAAAAGATAGTGAAAAGTATGATGTGATGAGAGTCTATTTATGGGAGTGATAGCAAATAAAAAGAGATTAATAAAACAGAATGGAATTGGAAAGGGCTTTGAACTGCCACAAAACAGTCTAACTTCTCAGGTTATAGCAGAACTACTGACAGCTCACATATGAAGTCAAAAGAAGATTAGATGAGAAATTAATTTGGAAACTGTTGAATTCTAGAATTGACTAATGAATGTTCT